ATTCCGAGAGAACGGGGAGCTTATGGTAGATGCCAATGGCTCAAGATGGCAGAAGTCCTTGAGGAGTACAGAGCGATGGCAGCATCTTCAGAGGCAGCATGGCTACAGAACCTGCCAGCCTGTGAGGCCTGGAGTGGGACTCTGGCAGTGGCATGGCATGGGCTGGTGTAGCCCAGAGCAGGATTATAGCAGCAGAGAAGGAAAAGTTGGACTCTTTTTAAATTATCTTTCTTTATTTTTTATTTCATTTTAAGTTAATGAGAATGGTGCCTATGCATGGTGACGGTACACACTTTTCACTGTATCTTATATTGAATACACGTGACAATAAACGATTCAAATTCAGATGTGTAAGATGGACCTGAAAGAGTACATTAGTAGAACTAAAAGGGCGACATGAAAGGATACTGGCAGGTTAAATGAAGGAAAATCCACCATTGTTTTACAAGTACATTAAGTATATAAGAGTGGTCAGTGCCTGGAATGTGCTGCCAGAGGAGATGCTAGAAGCAGATACAATAGCAATGTTTAAGAGACATCTTGACAGATACATGAATAGGCAGGCAGTAGAGGGATACAGACTGCCTAAAGGTCTGTTCCTGTTCTTTGTAGAGAGATAATGAAAGAATTCTTCAAATAGTTTTGGCCCATTTTTAATAATCCTGTATGGGAGTGGGGAGGAGAATTCGGTCTGGTGTGCCTTTGGATACATCAATTAGAGGAGGCTTCAAAGTCAGCAATAAGTTTCTAAAGAAGGACCATTCAGTGTTAAGAAAAAAGTATTTATTAAATAGTAACATTTTATTTGAGGAAAGCAAAATACCAAAGCAGACAGCATCACGAGCAAGGCATACAGTGTTCTTCAACTTAATTTTCATTGTTGCATCCAACATTCTAAACAAATGAGGAGAAAAATATTACCAAACAGACTAGAAGATCATAGAATCCCTACAGTGTGGAAACAGGGCATTCAGCCCAACAAGTCCACACTGCCCCTCCAAAGAACATCCAGGTCTGGCTCATTCCCCTACTCCTGCATTTTCCCATGTCTAACCCAGACATCCCTGGACACTATAGGCAATTTAGCACGGCCAATCCAACTAGCCTGCACATCTTTGGACTGTGGGAGGAAACCGGAGCACCCGGAGGAAATCCACGCAGACACGGGGAGAATGTGCAAATTCCACACAGACAGTCACCCAAGGATGGAATCAAACCTGGGTCCCTGGTGCTGTGAGGCAGCAGTGCTAACCACTGAGCCAGCATGTTTAAGAAAATGGAAAATCATTTGAAAACTGAAGTCTATCTGTTAAACATTACTTATCTGTTAGCAAATAAAACCTTTTTTACATAAATGAATATTTTTACAACAGTTGTGTGATCAGTAGGCTTGAGTTACAGGTTTCAGAAATGATGCAAGCGCCCTCTGTTGCTTTACCGGGGACTTTGCTTGATATTAGACTGATCTAAATTACAAGTTAATAAGAATCTGATTCGTGGCTTCATTATTATTGTAACAATGTGATAATAAATGAAGGTGATAGCAGCAATTTTCCTTACTGTTGTATTTAAAACATTACAGGGACTAATTGGACACAATTTCCCCCTCTCTGGTGTATGAGTTGTGAGAAAAGTGGGAAAATATAGCGCAAGTGAAAAAAATCAGGCTGTCAACATTGAGAAATGTTTTCTTGATATTTCCTGGAAGCCTTAAATGACAATTTCAGAATCTGATCATTGAGCAGTCACTAATTTCCTTACATTAGAACCTCAACTCACCTTATTAAGAGAACCCTTCAAATTCTCCTCTCTTTCACTGAGAAAATAGACAGCACTAATTCTCCACAAACAAATCAATGGCTGTAGCTCATCGGACACTTCTCTAGCAATTGCACAGCTGCCTCTTCACAACAACTGGCTTCAATCTGCACTTCACTGGCAGGTCATTCATTGTCTGAGACAGTTTCAAGCAATCTCAAACATTTCATCTTGTAATCCCCCACTCTAGATCTGCTATTGTGCACATCTCACCAAGGCCTGTTGATTACCGCTCTCACTATTACATGTCTATGTCCATTCATTGGCTGTCATCCATGCCATTCCAAACTATTAATCCTTCCTGGTCTCTGCACTTCCAAATCATCCATTAACATGTCACCAACTCTCCTGATCATGTATGACCACTACCTGTTCTTCCATCCATTGCGAGATGATGGTTTGGTGCTCAGGGGTGGGGTCATGATCAAGGGGGCGGTAGGAGGAGGTGTCGGAGAGTTGGCGTCCGGCCTCGGCGATGTAGAGGTCAGTGCGCCATACTACAACTGCACCTCCCTTGTCCGCGGGTTTTATGGTGAGGTTGGGATTGGAGCGGAGGGAGCGGAGGGCTGCACGTTCTGCGGGGGAGAGGTTGGAGTGGGTGAGAGGGGTGGAGAGGTTGAGGCGATTGATGTCTCGACGGCAGTTGGAGATGAAGAGGTCGAGGGAGGGTAGGAGGCCCTGGGGTGGTGTCCAGGAGGAGGGGGTGTGTTGGAAGCGTGAGAAGGGGTCAGTAGAGGGAGGGTTAGGTTCACGGTTAAAGAAGTAAGCGTGGAGGCGGAGGCGGCGGAAAAACTGCTCTATGTCCAAGCGTGAGCGGTATTCGTTGATCTGTGGGTGGAGGGGGACAAAGGTGAGCCCTTTACTGAGGACTGACCATTCGTCCTCAGTAAGGGGTAGGTCTGGGGGGATGGTGAAGACTCGGCAGGGCTGGGTGCTGCTGTCTCCTCTGGAGCTGCTGGCCACCCCTGAGCACCAAACCATCATCTCGCAAACCATCCACAACCTCATCACCTCAGGTGACCTCCCACCCACGGCCTCCAACCTCATCGTTCCCCAACCTCGCACTGCCCGCTTCTATCTCCTTCCCAAAATCCACAAACCTGAATGCCCTGGTCGACCCATTGTCTCCGCCTGCTCCTGCCCCACCGAACTGATCTCCAACTATCTCGACTGCATTTTCTCCCCCTTGGTCCAGGAACTCCCTACCTATGTCCGTGACACCACCCACGCCCTCCACCTCCTCCAGAACTTCCAATTCCCCGGTCCCCAACACCTCATCTTTACCATGGACGTCCAGTCCCTCTACACCTGCATTCCCCATGCAGATGGCCTTAAGGCCCTCCGCTTCTTCCTGTCCCGCAGGCCCGACCAGTCCCCCTCCACTGACACCCTCATCCGCTTAGCCGAACTCGTCCTCACACTCAACAACTTCTCTTTCAATTCCTCCCACTTCCTACAGACAAAGGGGGTAGCCATGGGTACCCGCATGGGCCCAAGCTACGCCTGCCTCTTTGTAGGTTACGTGGAACAATCCCTCTTCCGTACCTACACCGGCCCTAAACCCCACCTCTTCCTCCGTTACATTGATGACTGTATCGGTGCCGCCTCGTGCTCCCACGAGGAGCTCGAACAGTTCATACACTTCACTAACACCTTCCACCCCAACCTTAAATTTACCTGGACCATCTCTAACACCTCTCTCCCCTTCCTGGACCTCTCTGTCTCCTTATCGGGCAACCACCTCGAAACCGATATTCATTTCAAGCCCACCGACTCCCACAGCTACCTAGAATACTCCTCCTCCCACCCACCTTCCTGCAAAAATGCTATCCCCTATTCCCAATTCCTTCGCCTCCGCCGCATCTGCTCCCAGGATGAGGCATTCCACTCCCGTACATCTCAGTTGTCCTCGTTTTTCAAGGACCGTAACTTCCCCTCCTCGGTGGTCGAGAACGCCCTCAACCGTGTCTCCCACATCTCCCGCACCTCATCCCTCACACCCCGTCCACGCAATAAAAACCAAAAAAGAATCCCCCTCGTCCTCACGTACCACCCCACCAATATCCGGATCCAACGCATCATCCTCCGACACTTCCGCCATCTGCAATCCGACCCCACCACCAAAGACATCTTTCCCTCCCCACCTTTATCTGCTTTCCGGAGGGACAACTCTCTCCGTGACTCCCTTGTCCGCTCCACACTCCCCTCCAGCTCCACCACACCCGGCACTTTTCCCTGCAACCGCAGGAAGTGCTACACCTGCCCCCATACCCCCTCCCTCACCCCCATCCCAGGCCCCAAGAAGACTTTCCACATCAAGCAGATGTTCACCTGCACATCTGCCAATGTGGTATACTGCATCCGCTGTACCCGGTGTGGCTTCCTCTACATCGGGGAAACCAAGCGGAGACTCGGGGACCGCTTTGCAGAACACCTACGCTCGGTTCGCAACAAACAACTGCACCTCCCAGTCGCGAACCATTTCAACTCCCCCTCCCATTCCTCAGACGACATGTCCATCCTGGGCCTCCTGCAGTGCCACAACGATGCCACCCGAAGGTTGCAGGAACAGCAACTCATATTCCGCTTGGGAACCCTGCAGCCCAATGGTATCAATGTGGATTTCACAAGTTTCAAAATCTCCCCTCCCCCCACCGCATCCCAAAACCAGTCCAGCTCGTCCCTGCCTCCCTAACCTGTTCTTCCTCCCACCTATCCCCTCCTCCCACCTCAAGCCGCACCTCCATCTCCTACCGACCAACCTCATCCCGCCCCCTTGACCTGTCCGTCCTCCCTGGACTGACCTATCCCCTTCCTAACTCCCTACCTACACTCACCTTTCCTGGCCCCATCCCCGCCTCTTCGACCTGTTTGTTTCCTCTCCACCTATCCTCTCCTCTATCCCTCTTCTATCCGCCTCCCACTCTCTCCCTATTTATTTCAAAACCCCCTTCCCCTCCCCCTTTTCTGATGAAGGGTCTAGGCCCGAAACGTCAGCCTCTCTGCTCCTATGATGCTGCTTGGCCTGCTGTGTTCATCCAGCCCTGCACCTTGTTGTCTCGGATTCTCCAGCATCTGCAGTTCCTACTATCTCTCTTTCCCTATGCTCCCTGTTTTTCTTTACAATCCTCAAGTAAATACAGAAGCTAATTGATTAAACCAATTATGATGACCATACTCACTGCTTTTTGTTTTGTTGGTGATCAAAAATTGGCAATTTCTGTACCAGCTGTCTTTCTTCAGTACCTGCACTAGGTTACAGTGACGTTAAGGCTTTATATTAATTGCAGTATGACAGTAACATATTCAGTTGCTGCAATTCCCTTTCCCATGCAGTAGGAATTTCTCAAATAGTTAGCAAATGCATATTTGCCAGTAAGTCCCGGATTTATAAATCAAAGTTCCGGAAGTGGTCAGGCCACAACAAACTTTGTATATGGCTCAATCTACACAATTTTGAAATTGTCATCATAGAGAGAGTTAGATTAATAAACAGTTCCTCAATTTGGAACAAACCGTTCAAAATTTCCGCATGTCAGTTTTATTCTACATAAAATTTAATCAGATCATATCATGATAGCAACATAGAGAAGCCTGTTATTAAGGAATTTTAACATTCAGGGAAAGATTGGAGACATGGTAGCTCAGTGGGTGCTCTAGTTTCCTCCCACAGTCTAAAAATGCGCAGGTTAGGTGGATTGGCCATGTTAAATTGCCCAATGTATCTTGGTGGATTAGCCATGGGAAATGCAGGGTTACAAGGATAATTTTTCAGAATGTCAGTGTGGACACGACTGGGCCAAATGGCTTGCTTCCACGCTGTAGGGATTCAATGAATGTGGTAGAATGAGTAATAGGCAACATTTAATTTTGGTGTGGAATGTACACAGGGGTGGGCAGTGGGAGATGACCTGATGATAACACTTTTGAAAGACCAAAATCAACTTGATCTCCAATTATAATTAAACAGACAAGCTATCAGTTAGAAATGAATAATGTTCAATTCTGTCCAAACAACTTCAGCCGATCAACTGTAAAACCTCCATCAATGTCTTTGTTACCCCTGGATTATTCCAATGTAACTCCATAACTTAATATTACATAAATATTTGCAATCTGTAACCTTACTCACACCATGTCCTCCTCCTCCATTGCCAAATGCTCACTGATTTGCATTGGCTCCCATAAGGCATGCCTCAATTTTACAATTCCCATTGTGTTTTCCTCTATAACCTCATATTTCCTTATCTTTGCCATCTTCTGCATGGTCCAAAGCTTTCTGAGATATCTGCACTCAGGGAAGCGATGATCTGGTGGCATTATCACTAGGTTATTAATCTAGAAACTCAACTAATGTTCTGGGGACCCGGATACAAATCCCGCCATGGCAGATTGTGGAATTTGAACTTAATAAGGAATCTGGAATTAAGGATCTAATGATAAATATGAATCCATTGTCAATTGTCAGGAAAATCCTATCTAGTTCACTCATGGCCTTCAGGGAAGAAAATCTGTCACCTTTACCTGGTGTGGCCTACATGTGACTCCAGATCACAATAATGTGGTTGAATCTTAGCAATTAGGAATGGGCAATAAGTGACTTAGCCAGAGACACCCACACCCTGTCAGTGAATAAAAATCCTCCAGTTCTGGCCCATTGAGTGTCCCCGATTTTAATTGTACACAATTTGTGGCTGTGCTTACAGCTCCCAAACCTTGAGCCGTGGGAATTTCATGCCTAAATCTCTCTGTGTCCTCTATTTGCCTTTCTCCCCTCTTTTAAGGTGCTGCAGAAAATCTGATTCCAAGCCTTTTGGTGTCATGATAAATTTTGTAACCGATGTTAAGCACTCAATTATATTTCTTTAATATTTAATCAAATTACAGCACGAAAGCACCACAGAGTGCCCGTTGTTAAGGAAGTTTAACATTAAAATATTAAGGGAAAGATTGTGGTAAAATGGGCAGGTAGGTAACATTTGCAGTACATGGATATCCACTTTATGGGCACAAACCTCAACTCCTTAGAGGTAGATTTGTTTTGGTGTGAGGAGTGCTTTGTTGCTCTATAATGATTCTGAGGCGGGTGTGAGTTTTGTTCAATACCATTTTAATGAGTCCATTAGTGCACACAAGAATGTCTGGTAGTATTATGCAGAGTGGTGAGATGATGGCATCAATCAGCATGTGAGACTAGTTCACTACCAACCAGCATTGCCAGTTTGCTCAAAGTTCCATGTTGTCTCTTAAATACACACAACTGAACATGTACTCAGCAGCAGCAAAGGCCACCAGGTTACATAAAGAGGCTTTTTGATCAGTTATTGATTGATTTCTTCTGACTGTTGCTGTAATTGGAGAAATATTTTGTGGTTAATAGAGTTGACAGTGTTATTTAAGTTACTGGGTGTACAAGTGTTCAAAGGACTGAAACACTTTGTTCTGAGTTCAAGGTTTCTGTACGAATGCCTTGCACCCAGACATGAGTGCAGTTGTATGCATTCCCCTTTGATTACAGCATGACAGGGAGAATGTTTATTTTAGTAACTCATGGGATGTGGCGGCCAGCAATTATCACCCATCCCTAATTTCCTGTGAGAAGGTGATGCTGACCTGCCTTCTTGAACAATGCTGACCTTGTGGTTTAGAAACATCCCCAGTTCTATGAAGTAGCAAGGTCCAGGACTTTGGCATAATAACAATATAGCAACAAAGGAATATTTCCAAATTGGTTTGGTGTGTAACTAGGACAGGAAATTTCAAGTGGTGATATTCTCACTTACCTGTTGTCCTTGTTCTTCCAGATTGTAGATTTAGAAGGTGCTGCCAGAGGAAGTTTGGTGAATTGCTACAGTGTATCTGCAAATTGTGAACATGGGAATCACCAGTGACAGAAGGCCATTCAGCCCCTCATTACTGCTCTATCATTCAATAAGATCATGGCTGATCTGTCACCTGAAATCCACATTCTTGCTTATCCCAATAAACTTCCTACCCCTTGTAAAACAAGAATCTAATTTCCTCTACCTTAAAAATGTTCAAGGATTCTGCTTTACCACCTTCCCAGGAAGCGATCTTCAAAGACTCACTGCCCTCTCTGAGAAAAAGCTTTGCCTAATCTTCATTTGAAATGTGTGGCTCCTGATTTCTAGACAGTGACCTCTTGTTCTAAATTCTCCCATTAAAGGAAAAGTCCCCTCCACATCCACCCTGTCAAGACCCTTCAGAAATTTGTCTTAGAATTCCTACAGTGTGGAGAAAGGCCATTCGGCCCAACAAGTCCACACTGACCTTCAGAGCATCCCAACCAGACCCATTCCCCTATAACCCACCTAATCTACACATTCCTGAACACAATGGGCAATTTAGCATAGCCAATCCACTTAGCCTGCACATCTTTGGACTGTGGGAGGAAACCAGATCAAACATGGGGACAATGTGCAAACTCCACACAGACAGTCACCCGAGGGTGGAATGGAACCCAGGCCCTTGGTACTGTGAGGCAGCAGTGCTAAGCACTGAGCCAGCATACCACCCTTAGTTTAATCAACTACCTCTTACTCTTCAAAACCCCAGCAAATACAACCCTAACCAGTCCAACTTTTCCTCATTAGGCAATCTGCCCATTCCAGCTGTTAACCTGAAAAACCCACTTTGAACTGCTTCCAGTGCATTTACGCTCTTCCTTAAATAAATTACCAGCAATGTGCACGCTACTCCAGATGCAATCTCACCAGTGCTCTGTATAATCTGAAGGATTAATCTCATGGTGATTTGTTGGGTTTTTGTTGGGGCTCATTATTTTTTATGCATCAAGATTTTTCAGCCATGTCTTCATATCTTGTGGAATGAATTGGCTGAGGATTGACAGATTGGGGGACCTCAGGAGAAGACTGTAGTGGGTCATCCACTCAGCATTTCTGACTGAAGATCGTTGGAATTGCTTTAGGTTTGCACTTTGCATGCTCATGCTGAACTTCGCATTGCTGAAAGGTATAATCCCGGAGCCTTGTTCCCCTCTTAGTTCTTTAATTACCCAGCACTATAATGGGACTTGAATTAATGCTTGTGAACCATATGCCCATTTCTCTCAGTGACTAGTCTAGTAACATGCTCTCTGTGCTGCTTCCTGCATGTGAATGAGCAGATATGACACATTGCAGGGCAAGTTGGAGGAACTGGAAGAAGAGGAGCTTTCTCAGCAGGAGATCATATGGTCCCAGGCTGTTCTGAAAGCAAAGCTCCTCCCTGCACCTCAGTTAGGAACTGTCCATCACATACCTGCTCTTCACTAAGGAGGTTCTCACTGAAATCTGCAGCTATAACACCCATGGAGGGTGAGGACAACAATTATATCTAGTGACTGTAACAGTGACCAGGACATGAAATATTATATATCTGGCCTCTTTTAGATTGAAGCAGGCAATATTTACAACAAAATGTTGATTCCATTTGGGTGGAAATTAGGAATAGCAGGGAGAAGAAGTCACTGATAGGTGTGGTCTATAGGCCACCAAATAATAACATCGTGGTGGGGTGGGCAATTAACATAGAAATAGCTAATGCATGTAAAAATGGTACAGCAATTATCATGGGGGATTTTAATCTACATATCGATTGGTCAAACCAGGTCGGTCATGGCAGCCTTGAGGAGGGGTTCATAGAATGCATCCGCGATAATTTCCTTGAACAATATGTAATGGAACCTACGAGGGAGCAAGCTATCCTAGATCTAGTCCTGTCTAATGAAACAGGAATAATTAATGATCTCACAGTTAGGGTTCCTCTTGGAAGGAGCGATCACAGTATGGTCGAATTTAAACTACAGATGGAGCGTGAGAAGGTTAAATCCAGTACCTATGTCCTGTGCTTAAACAAAGGAGACTATGAAGGAATGAGGGAGGAGTTAGCTAAGGTAGAATGGGAGCAAAAACTTTATGGTGGGTCAATTGGGGAACAGTGGAGGACTTTTAAAATGATTTTTCACAGTGCTCACCAGAACTATGTTCCAGTGATAAGGAAGAACCGGAGGAAAAGAAATAGTCAGCCATGGATGTCTAAGGAAATAAAGGAAAGTATCAGATTGAAAAAATACACATACAAAAAAACAAAGAGTAGTGGGAAACTAGTAGACTGGGAAATCTTTAAAGGCCAACAGAAAGCCACAAAAAAACGTTAGAAAGAAAAGTAAGATAGATTATGAGAGTAAACTAGCTC